TCTCTTCTGGAGACTAAACAATCCCAGTTCCCTCAGCCTCTCCTCATAAGTCATGTGCTCCAGATCCCTAATGTCAATGTGAGCAGACTGAATCCTGCCTAGCACTGACCACTCCAGCCCCAATGCAGCAAAGCATTTAAGCACATGCTTAACTTTAAACACCAGGGTATTCCCATTGAGGTCACTGCAGTTAAAGGTGTGTGCGATTTGCTGGAGTGGCGTGTGGGGTAGCTCCGTTCATTATGTCCATTATTACCAGGATATTGAATTCAGTGAACTAACACAAAGGATTTGTGTGTCTAATAGAGATGGAAGAGGAGAGAGATTGGAACTTTCAGGTTCACTGGTGGTGAGTTATACTGAACTGCACTTTAGTGATGCAGGTGGGTTTTTATGTTATCTCAAGGGCACTTAGGGACAGATTGTTAAAGATATTTAGGTGCCTAATGGGTTTTTCTAAAGCACCGAGGCTTATAAAACTCACTGACTTCAAAGGGTGTTCGGCGCGTCAATGCTTTCAAAAATCCCACCAAGGGCTGGATTCACAAAGGGTCTGTGATCATTGGACCTACGAACTTACCCTCATTGTGAGCTCAACTGTGAGAAGTGCATGAAAGTTCACAGAGCATCACAATAACCTAGAACAACAAATGTTGATGGGAAAAGGAGCAAAGAAGAGATAAAAGACTGAATTAGTCCAAACAAGAAGGTCCCCTGGTATAACTCAAGGTCATGTCTGGTAAATGAGAACAGCGTGAGACAGGAAGTCAATGAACCAAAACTGGCGTATCACAAATTAGAGCTAATTGATGGACAAGATAATGAGGGGATGGGCTTTTCCACCCATCACTCCCTTTTGGGGTTCTCAAAAAAAAGAGACTTTGGGAGGAAGTTTGCCATCAGCATGCTGGCTGACTAAAAGACAAGAGAAGGGGAAGGTCCAAGCTTCGCCAACATGGGCTCCCACCCCCACCATTTTCTGGGACCCTGGACCTTCTTCATCCTAATCAGGATGTACAAAGTAAAAGTGCTTGTCAACGCAACCGTAACTCTGCGCTCCTTGAGCAATGACCCAATCTGCGTAACACACATAGTCACACTCTGCCTTTGCAGATCACTCAGGCACTAGGGCACAGGACAGCTCTAAGACATGGAGGAGGAGTATGAAATAACTAAATATTCACTGGAGCTAGAGGACTGGAGCTTGGGTGTCCCAATTCCTACATGTGAGCCCCAACCACGCCATTACAGAGTAATTGTAAGTCTCTTTCTTTGGCCCAACAGATTTTTAACTATTTCATACAAAGCTTCAACAGGCCAGAGTAAGAAAGGCCTGGGGCACGGACCATCTTTTTGTTCTGTGTTTGTACAGTACCTAGCACAATGGTCCCTGGTCTATGTCTAGGGCTTCAAATAATAAAGTCTTTTTAGTTTTGAAGCTTTTCCTTCTCTGTTCCATCTCCTCTGTGGCCAGAAGAAGTATGATTCTATTAATATACTGTCTACCCTCAACAAATAAACAAAACATGCAAATAACTTTTCCTTCCCAGTAATTTAAAATGCTTATTAGCAGATGTCTCAAGGGAGAATTCACCTGCTGTGTTTGCAGGATAAATAATTGCTCTGGAGGAATATTCATTTTCTGGTGAGAGATACAAGGCAAAGCAAACCAAGGGTCTCAGCACAACTAGGGTGTCCAGCCAGGAACATGCAGGTCTCGTTACTGCTTTCCACTGCGGTGTGTAGCTACACATACCTTACACGCTGCCGCCAATAATGTGCAGTGTAGACATACCTTGAGACAATTAAAACATATGAAGGGGGTGCAGATAGGAGACAAATGGCAGAACCAGGATCCTGCTCTCTGAAACACTGAGTGAAGAGGTCACATCACAGGTTCCAGCTTCTTCTATGCCAGCCTTAAGGTAAACAAATCTTTCACACTCAACTTCATTAAAAATAGATCATTCAAGAAAGGGAAGCAAATGTCACCTTATCCATCCAACCATGTCAATGTAGTTTCCTTTCTGATAACCCTATATCTTTTGCCTGGGTCACTGAAAGAATCAGGGTGATGATGGAAACTCAAAGATCCAAGCAGAAGTTGCGGTACTAGAAAATTTGCTGCCAGAGTCTTGGTTCTTCACTGAACCAACAAGATGAAGGGCCTTATGGAATATTTATGGAACTAAATTGATGCTGATGCTTGATAAAAATGTATCATCTTCAGATTCTATTGTAAATTGTGTTTTCTTTCCCCTAGTTACACCTCATGGCGAACGCAGAGTGGGGAAATCAAACAGTTCTCACAGATTTCATCCTGCTAGGATTTGGGAATCTCCCTGGGCTGCAAATTCTTCTCTTCTTGTTGTTTCTTGTCATCTACATTGTGACAATGGCTGGGAACATCCTCATTGTTGTGCTAGTTGTGGCTGATCAGCAACTTCACACCCCAATGTATTTCTTCCTGGGGAATTTGTCCTGCTTGGAGACCTGCTACACCTCCACCATCCTGCCCAGGATGTTGGCCAGTTTTCTTACTGGGGACAGAACCATTTCTGTTAGCAGCTGCCTCACACAATATTATTTCTTTGGGTTCCTGGCAGCTGCAGAGTGCTATCTCCTGGCAGTGATGTCTTATGATCGGTATTTAGCAATATGCAAACCACTGCACTATGCTGTCCTTATGAATGGCAGGTGCTGCCTCCAGCTAGCAGCTGGCACTTGGATTAGTTGTTCTCTGGCTATAGACATAACAATATTTTTAATGCAACAATTAACTTTCTGCGGCCCCAATGAAATTGACCATTTCTTCTGTGACTTCACCCCAGTAATAAAACTCTCCTGCAGTGACACACGTATGATGGAGCTTATCACTACCATACTGGCTGCTATATGCACTCTCCCGCCATATCTATTAACCCTGGCAACATACGTCTGTATCATCACCACCATCCTGCGAATCCCTTCCACCTCTGGGAAGAGAAAAGCCTTTTCCACCTGCTCCTCTCACCTCATCGTGGTGTCAATTTTCTATGGGACCATAATGATTGTCTACATGCTACCAAAAATTGATACACTGAGAGACCTGAACAAAGTGTTCTCCGTCTTCTACACAGTCCTGACTCCCATGCTCAACCCGCTCATATACAGCCTGAGGAACAGAGAGGTCAAAGAGGCCTTGGGAAAAGTTGCCACTAAATTCTCTGCTGTCAAAAGGATTCAAACCTTCTTATCATAGTTTGTTCAGTGCACGTGAAGTGGGAATGAGCTAGTTTGCTGTGATAGGTCTGAGTCACCTCTGTCACTGGCCATCTGGCTTTTTAGGTGAGATTAGTGGCCGCTATAGCTCGCACTCAATATTGGGGCTATTTGTGCTGTTTGGGCTTAGGGATCCAGGTCTTTGTGGTTTTGTTAGTCTGATATTTATCACTGCTGTTGTGACTTGCTTTAAAAAACATTGTCAATGAGGCACCAAGGCAGAGAGATGCCATCCTGTGCTTCCATTATGATACCGCCTGTAATTACATGAGCACACACTGTGTTTTATACTGGGCCCCTTTATCATGGATTGCACCAGATGCTCAATATTTCTTTTTATCCATCTCCTTCAATATGCCAAGGTAATGTGAGATGAGGCCTAGGACCCAATAGCTCTGTAAGAACTTGAGCACTGAGGTGAGACAATAAAGAAGAAAGGTTGGTACTGTGATAATGGCACAGAGAGACCTGGCTTCTATTCCCTGTTTTGTCACTGGGATCCAGGGAAGCTGACTTCACCTCTGGACCTCAGTTTCCTTATCTGTACAATGGAGTTTCTTGACACCCTTGTGTGAATGGCTGCTTCAATCCCTTACTACCCAGGGTACCCTTGTTTTGCAGATTTCCAAACTTCATAGCCTCTGAAATTTGATCTGTCAATTATACAGCAGAGAAAGCATATGGTGTCCATTCCTACAGTGTGCTGGGCATTTCCTGTGAAATGCTGAGCACCCACAGCTCTCAGTGAAGCCAGTGGGAATTGAGGGCACTCAGCATCTTGTAATGTCAAGTCCAAGGTGAGCATGATTGTGGGTGAACCCAGCCTGGTCTGTGGCAGCACCTGGCAGATACATCTTATTTCCCAAGAACTCCACCAGATTCTGTATCAGCAATTCATTGTTGCCCCATTAGTGTCATTGTGATAGCAGAAAATGCAGAGTGCCAGCTCTGCTATAATTAGGCTTGGAAGGATTAGATTTTTATCAGTCAATGCCGGTAAGCATCAATTTCCCCGTACATGCACAAACTGAGAAAAAAATATTTCCACAGATAACAATCAAAATGTGCAGATAGACAAAGTAAGAAAAATGCTGTTTGAGAACTTATTGGAGTTTGATTTAAGGATATTTACTTTGTATATTTTGACATGCGAGTTAACAATTTGTGTTTTAATGGTTATGAAATTTAACTTTGTAAATCTAAATGTTTTTTTGCCATTAAACAATTATTGTCTGCTGCCCTCATTGTCTGACCACCCATAATTTTGCACCACTGTGAAAATAAAAAATAGAAAATAATGCTTAAAAATGAACATCAATGTTATCCATCGAATTATGTTTTTAAAAAACGAATTCTGCCACGCCTAGCTATAATTAGGGTTGAGCTTCACTTTTTCTTGGAAGGTGGATCATTCTAAGTGCTTATAAATTTGCCCTACCTCATGGGGCAGCCAGGTAACATTAGTGTTCCAAATTTGAACCAGAGATTCCTGAGTTTCAAACACCCACGCAGCCTTCCCAAGCAACAGCATTGTGAAATCAAGTTCTTCTAAGGATTTTTTTTGTCATACAACTGGGGCTCAAATTACAGCCTGGATCTGCCCCAAACTTATCTCAGTCACTCAGGATTTATCTCAGCTAATGCACAGCACCCACTGCCCCTTTGGGGTTACATTGAAGAAGCTGTTGTGACCCAGAGACCTCATGGTGTGAACTGGCAGAGGGCTCAGGGGGTCCATAGAATTTTACAGGGATCCTCTAAGTCAGTTATATGCATAATAGTTCACCAAAGGGTGGCGTGTGAGGTCTCTACCAGGAGCAAGTAGCTCACTGATCATCATAATTATTGGAAGATGTTTGTACAGGCAACAGTTTAAGAGATATGTAAAATATTCGGTTCCAAAACTGTTAAAGGACAGCTTGTCACCTGAGTCAAGGCATTGGTGAGGCCTCATCTGGAATACTGTGTCCAGTTTTGGGCCCCACACTACAAGAAGGATGTGGAAAAATTGGAAAGAGTCCAGCAGAGGGCAACAAAAATGATTAGGGGTCTGGAGCACATGACTTTTGAGGAGAGGCTGAGAGAACTGGGATTGTTTAGTCTCCAGA